TTATTTCAATACATATGGAGCCCAATGCTGGCAACAAATCAAATAGGCAATGTGGCAAGATCAATAAAGTAAGACAGGTTTGTTAAGGCAAAATTGTCTTAGAATTCATTTTAGAGAGAACTAAATTCACAAGGATCTGCAAGACTTAGCCTGGCCTGTGATTGATGCAATGAAATGGCATGTTCAGCCCACTGGTGTCAACTTGCATGCATGCATGATGTCCAGTGCAGTGGACAAGGCTTTCCACTGGTATCAGACAAGAACAAATGAATGCCACAGAACAAAACGTACCAGCCTGGGCCAAGGTGGGGCCAACATGAATTGGAAGACATCTGTGTAAGTCATGATGTAAACGAACACCCCTGAAAAGAACATGGCTGGGAACAATTAATATTTTTCTCTCATACTAAAACAGGTCTTGTTTAAATACATGTTAATTTGCCAGTCATACAGCATTCACGCAAATGAACAATGCACACCACATGACTAGAGCATTGCATTCATGAGCAGGTACCACGCTCTACACGGCTAGGTATACATCTACTTACACTGATAACACAAACGGCAAAACGCCGTGTCCTCACCGATGCCGGTGGACCTGGCCACCGGTGATGTGGGCCTGAATTTACGTGGATCGCGCTGGCGTTAACGACACGGCGACACACTCTGACTTCACCGAGCACATGGAAGTGCACAAAGTAATAGAAAAATGAGATGTACAGCCTCCGGTAACGTCCGCGTTACAAACCCCCGACTCGGGCCAGCCATCGACGCAGGGGAATACAACGCTGTTGTTACTATCACATCGGCGTCAACAGAGGCAATGTGTTCCACTCCTGCCAGGCATCCTCAGGACAAAACTGGCGCAGAGTTTCAGCTGATCCTAAATCTGAGCGATTTGAGTGGGTGGGAACGGCGAATAAATAAAAGGTTCTCATGTGCTTATGTGCTTGTGTGTTCAACAATAACGGCTCAGTATCCATACAGCTTTTCAATTTCATAAATCAGGATTATCTGTGATGCTTGGATTTCATTCTATGAGACAAAAGCTGTCATGTACACGAGCAGTTTTTCACTTAAGTCCAAAAAATATTTAGTAGTAGACAATTCTGAGACTGACAATGCCAGTCAGCTGTCGTTTACCAGCCCCTTTAGTGCACAAAGAGCAAAGCATCACTGGGGGAGTCTCTCAGCATCCAGCTCAGCATTAGCTTTTGAGAGGATCCCCGACCGTCTCGGTGGTGGTTGGTGGCGTGGAGCGGGAACGGCCTTGGAAAGTGTATTGCGAAAAGGTGTGAGCTGCGGGAGGGCGCGTAGCACTTTGTTTTACGGAGCTTATGTGACAGTGAGTGTGTTTTACAAGCGTCTTGCCAAGTGCGATCTGACCCTGCCAGTGGTGTCCTGCAACGGAATATGCCCATCATGACCACGCGGTTGAAAATACTTCTCCACTCGCCATGGCAGTTTGTTCTGCTCGCAATCGCTGCCGTCCAGATTGTGCCTTTCTGCTCTGCATTGCACCAAGGTAGGTTCACATTACAATTTTTCATTTAAGTAGAACAGCCTTACAGCGGCAGGCAGGCACGTGCAAAATATTGTCAAAACAAAGAGGTTTAACTGATTTTAGGTTTACTTCCATGTGCCATGGCTCCAGCTTTGCATGTAGGCATAGGTGTCCACATGCTGGCTGCTGATGAGTTTAGAAGGTGCCTTGTGAATTGATGTGAAAAGCCAGTAGGATGGTTATCAGTTAAATCTAAAATTTTTGAGGGTATTTCATGGAAGTTTTGGTCTTTGTGACTGGTTTGTGAGTTAGCCACCTGTACGCAAATTGTTGAAGGTTGGGTTGGCATAGGTATATATTGCAACATAATGTTAAACAAGAGCATTGGACATCATTCTTTGTATTTAAGGCCAAACATCACAAATAATCACAGAATGGATAGATTCATGTTCCTACCTTCAAATTTGAATGATTGCGATAGTGAGCTCCTGAGTGCCCCACACAATCCACCATCTTGACCCCCCCCCCCCCCTCCAGTGCAGTTGCTACATTATTGTGTGGTCACAATATTACTGCTTATCTAGAACCATAAAAATGTATGGGGCCAAGATAACAGTAATAATTCAATGAAGTATGTTTCTTATTGCATGTAGGTACTTTTATGAAACAGACAGGCCAAAATAGTCCAGAACATAGCCTAAACTAGCCTAACCTAACCTATTCTAACCCAGCCTAGTACAGCCTAACCCAACCTAACCTAACTTAACCTAACCTGACCTAACCCAACCTAACCTAACCTAACCTAACCTAACCTAACCTAACCTAACCTAACCTCCCCACCCTATCCCCTTCAACCCAGCATCCTATTGGCATGCATGTTCAATGCCATATATATGTACTGTATTAAGAAGTTTTGTTTAGCTACCATACTCTTATTTTGCTTTCCATCCCCAACAAAATACATCATATTTGCCCCTCATGTATGGTTCTTGATGTGCAGTAATGTTGTGATCACCCATAGCAGTGGCACTGGGGCTGGGGTTGCAACATGTTTGCAGTGCTTAAAAGTTCCCTGTCATAGTTACTTAAGTTCCAAGGTAAGAGCTTATGAGCTTGGTCATGGCCTTTGACATATACTGGACCACCTTGTGCCCTTGGGCCAGGCCAAATTCTGCTGAATCTTCACATAATTTTTGTGCGGCAAATGCATTTGAAATATTTTCGCATTAAAGGACCTTTACAACACTAAAGCTCCCTGAAATTTGAGCTCTCTGTGCACTCAATCTGGTGGTGGCCATGCACTTAACTCTTGCATTTGAGAACTTACTGTGTAAGTGCTGCAACTTCACTATTACATCTGGTATGTTGGGCTTAAGATGTATTTGTGGAGTTTGTGCTTTGGACAGTGCCTAGGTATCCAGCCAGATAATGCATTTTCATTGATATGCTGTTTGGTTAAATTAGTGCCACTATCTGGGCATATACTGCATAGTTCATTTTTGTATTTCATTTGCATCACAGACCATATCCTGGAAACCAGAAGTGCAGTATTCCAATCACAGATGAATCTGCTGAAACAAGATATGGGCATATTATCCACATCAAGGCAGTGACATGTAGACATTATCAAATAATCAGGTTTTTTTACCTTGGATGGCTTAATTGATTTTGATCCATTTTATTTTACCACTTCAGTTGATTTGTGATGCAGACCAATTTTTACGCAATGCAGATCACACTCTGTCCTGACGGCTCAGTTGGTTTTGGCTTCTACCTTCAGATCCGCCTACTTCCACCTCTGGAAGGGTGGGCCCGAGTCGCTAGGTGCTAGCTTTTGACCTTGACAGGTATGGCAGGTGGCAGAGGTGGGCCATCATAAAGGTCAGGTGATGGCAGAGGGCATAGGATGATGTTAAACGTTGTGGTATATCAAACTTTCTGGATTTGAGTGGTTGGATGGTGTAGGTCTGGGCTCACACAAGCACTGCTTAGCTTGGGTTCTGATCCCAGAAATCCATCCATTCAAAAGGTTCAGACTAAATTTCAAAAAAGAGTTGGTCATGGTCATAGTTAGCTTCTTTTTTAAGTTGTATTAACTAAAAAATGGGTGTGGTATGAAATGGAAGACCACAATGCCCTACTGTTTGTAGCTGTGAGGCAAATGCTCTGTACATGCAATACCTGATCTTAGAGCTATCAAGGCAAGGAAATTATGTGGGTTCTGTGATATGGCTTACCAGATTTTCACAAGTTATGCCCAGTTAGACAGCTGGAAAACACTTATCTTGGGTGTAAAATGTGAAGTTTTGTTTATTGTGTGGATTTTGACCAAATTCCTTCAAAATGTGCATATCTAGTGTAAATATTATGACTCAGGTCATGTTGTCAGCCCCCTGCTATTGGCTACATCCCTAAGCACAACTCAGGTCAGCTCAACACACAGCCTAAACACAGGGTCCCCTCACCCATGGTGAAAATGTGTGTCATGATATATCACCATGTGCCTGGGTTATCCTGCTGTGTAGGTGTTATCTGCTATATCAGGCATCCAGGTAAGATGCATGTAACCAGACAACCAAACCAGAGGTAACTTGGTCAGTGACAAATGAGTCAGCAGAACAGAGTCATATTCATCTGAACCATTAACAACTGGGCCAGTAGCAACTGAACTGGTGGCTATTGAGCCAGTAGTAACTGGACCAGGACATCTAGTCCAGTGATGATTTCCCTAGTGACAATCAAACCAGGCTTATTGGCCCAGTGACAGTTGGATCAGAGAGAAGTGAATGATAATTTGAGGACTCTTCCATGTATTTAACTCCAACATCACCACACAGGTTGTGGCAATGATGTCACCTTGCCCTAATGGAGGCCTGGGGTATCATTTTTTAATTATCATCCTTAAGGAAATCCACCATTGCTAGGTTATGTGGTCTTCCAATAGGCACAAACTGAAGTTGCCTTCCAACAAGAATAATTCATGCCAGCCCAGCCAGCACATCATCATTTGTTTACGCCAGGCCATCTCCAGGTAGGGGCCCCAGCCCGACTTGTTCTCCATTAGCTCCTCATAGTCATTATGTCCGATGGATCGGTCGGCTGCGACTGAAATGGGGCATCCTTGCTGACATTTGGTGGCCGAATGCGTCATGATTGTCAATCGACCCAGCACCCCATCCTCAATCGCTGGCACCCAGGTAATTACAGAGGGACATCCCGATATCAGTGAAAGCATAAGTGGGCACATTTCAGACTTCGTGCTTAGCTCTGCTTGACGTCATGCGCGGGGGGTTACCTAGGGACATCCAGCACATCCAAGGAATGTCCCGGATTCAGTTGTCAAAGGTCAGTTTTTACTGGTGCAGTTGTCATCGGTCAGTTGTCACTGATGCAGTTGTCATGGATCAGTTGTCAGTGGTGCAGTTGTAGTGGGTCAGTTTTCATTGGTGTAGTTGTCATGGGTCAGTCGTCACTGGTTCAGTTGTCATGGGCCAGTTGTCACTGGTTCAGTTGTCATGGGCCAGTTGTCACTGGTTCAGTTGTTCTGACTTCATTGTCACTGTCTGGCTCAGTTGTGACAACTGATCATGATGACTCGGTTGTTACAACTGAGCCAGTTGTCAGTAGGTCAGTGACCAGTTGTCAACATCAGCAACTCACTTGCTCATGGCTTAGCTGTTTTGGTAATTTTTGGTTTTAATCATCATAGAACTAATGAAATCCAGTACCCAGAGCATCCATTCGATGGCCATGTCTTGGATGCTCTCTAAGCACGCCATATTTGCCAGGTTTGATTATGCTAGCTGTGTTAATTGCACTTACCGGAATATTTTGTAGTGCGATCGCAGAAATATCCCATGTGACAGTCACCACATACAAACAACAGCTGCATGTGGCCAATGCTGTGCACTCAATGTGCCACTGAGAAATCGTCGCAGGGTGTGTAATGTGATCACTATGCATCCTAAGGGAAAAAAACGTCGTTGCTGCATACCAAGACCAACTTTGGTTCATGCGTGACCAATGCTTGCGTAATAATGTTGTTTGACCAATGCGACCAGTGCCGTCTGGTGTGTTGAAATTCAATTCGTTTCAAGATGAGAATTCCCGACTAAAAATTCAAGCGTGCTTTACTTGGTGTAGTTCCAAACTTAGCAGTTACATGTAATGAATGCAACTTGTAAAACGAACTTAGCTCTTGTACGAATCTGTAATCGGGGCTGGGTGGATCTGAGGGATTCATTAGTCCCAAATGCACGGTCGCAATCCGTGCACGCTCACTTCTCGATAGCTCCCAATGCATTTCTGTTTGGAGTCACAGCGACCGTAGGCGCCATACTAGCGTTCGCGGGCTATGTCGCAGCCGGGTTTCGAACCGGGGCCCCACGTGGGAGCCGACGGCGATAGCCACTCGGCCATTACATTACGCCGCTAGCTCCTCATCCCCGTGCGGCCAACCAGCTGATCGATTGGAGGAGAGCCTGTCAGCGAAACATCAGCCTTGTTGCAAAATGGACAGGATGTTCTCCGTTGCATTCTTCTTTTCTTGTCTTCGGGGTACGCCGGACGTCAGATGGTCCGCGTTCCCAACTGCGGTCAGGAGAGATAGCGTATTTGAGTTCTTTCAGCGCCGTGCATCAATGAGCGTGCCATCAGTAGAGCCATCTTCGCGTATCTTGTTTATCTTGCTATGCTTGTTCAATATGAGGGCTTCCATCTCATCATGCCGGAAAAAACATGAGCTCAAAGCCTTTATTGTTGATATAAATTACCTAGCACGGGATCGTGACATTTCGCGTTGAAGTTGCTCTAAGGAGGGACGAAGTCAGAGAGCGGCACGTGCTGATACCGGCGCCATCAACCAAACCAGACCCCTTGCACGTTTCATCTTGTTTAGGTTTGCCCGCCAAACCGTGCTATCAAATTGTGATATTGTGCCATCAAATTGTGATATTGTGGTATCAAATCGCCGGGTTGTGTTTAACGGCGGACTTAGCTGACATGGAAATCCCATCGCGTTGTTCACCTGAGTGTCGTTATAGCGGTGCGAATCGTGTCGCTCATGGCAATACGTTCGTCGCGTCGGTCGACGAGGCAGCGTCTCACGACGGGAAGCCCAGTGGCGTACCCCTGAATCCCGACCTCTGGTGTGACTCGTCCGGTCAGCTGGACGGCCGATCGAGTGACATGCAGCTGCTGCCTCTGAATCTGTGCAGCTGTCCGACCACTTTAAGGCACATGCGATGACCATAGACGGCGGACGAGGCAACTGTCGCCGTCCGGATGACGTCACATTCAGCGGAAAGCTCAGAGTCGCGGACGGCGTCAGCGTTCAGAAACCAGCCTGCCGACGGGCCGAACCAGTTTATCGTGCCCCCGCAAGCCGAGTCTGACCAATGTTGCCTAGCGCTGGTAAGCTGGCTCTAATATGGCTGGGGCCCACCTCTCTATTGATGGCTCGTGCGTCGCGCTGCTGCCGTCAGCCCGCCAGCGTGACTCATCGTGTCTGCGTAGTGGAGCGAGGCGCCGGCTCTGCCCGTCTCCCTCCCTCTGTCCCCCGCCCACCGACCAGCCGACCGAGCGGCCCAGCCAGGCCCGCTCGGTACGACGCTTTGTGCGAGGGCGGTCGAATCCGTTTTCCGTCCAATCTGGGCGTGATTGGCTGAGATAGCTGCGGGCGCCGGCCGGCCGGCCTGCTGTTTGTCCCGAGCCGATAGCGGCTAGGCGCGTGACGGGGCGGGCGGCGGCCGCGCTGCCCCGGGCTCCGACTCCACCAGCGCCGGCGGCGGCCGCTGCCGCGCCCGCCAGCAGCAGGTCCGTTTCCCTTCGGCATTTCTGCAGACCAGTCCCTTTTTTCTTTTGTGCAGGCCGGTGGACAGAGGTCTGCGGCGTGCGCCGCCAGCTTCGTTGTGCGGGTCGTGGAGCGGCGTGGACAGCCAGCGTTTGCGGGGCGATGTCGGGGAGTGACGACGGTCGGCTCGCGACGCCGGCGGGAGGCCGAGCCGCCTGATCCAGTGTCGGCCGGCAAGGTCGCGCCCGGCCGGACATGAACCGGCTTCGGCCGGCTGACCGGGAGCGTTGCAGCGCCGGCGCCCGGTGCCTGGCGGCTCCGGCCCGGCCTCGTGCGCCGACCGGCCAACAGCCGCCGCCGCCGCCGCCGTCACGCCAGCTGGCCGACGCGCACGCACGCGCGTCACGCGCTAGTCGGCGCACGAGCAGCCGGGGACCGACGCGCCGGCGCCGCCGTCCTCCCCGCCGCCGCCGTCTAGACAGAGGCGGCCTTAAGTGGCCGGGGCTGTGAAGGGACTCACAGCTGGCGCCGAGCGACGCTTGGTCGGCGAGCTGGCGCGGCGCCAGCAGCGGAGGCCCGATGGCTCGCCAGGCTGCAGAAATGACCTTGACTGGGACAAGCAGCCAACTTCGGATGGCCGGCATATGACGGGGCCCTTGCTTGTCGAGTGGAACCAAAGCTGGCGGCCACGTTTGTGACATGCGGACGGAACAGGCGTCTGGAAACTGCTGACAGCGCACCACTGTCACCTGCCGACGCGCTCACTCTCAAAGTGGGGCATGCACCTTTACATAACACGGGGCTTATGAGTCATGTACAGAATAAAGCAAAGCTGTGGCTGTTGTGCAATGGTTGGAAGCTGTGTGCTTCTCTGAGCGCGCCGAATATCAGGGACAGGAAACGATGCAGTGTGCGTTGCCTCTGAGGGCGTTACATCAGATTCTAAGCACCTTGGTATTGAAAAGAAAGCATTCGTTGCCTCGCGTTAGCACAGCGAACGCACCTCGTCGGTATCCGAGTGCTCGGCTCGTAAGGATGCCAAGTTCTTGCACCCGGCGAAGTGAACATGACGTCGTAGTACATCTCAGTTCTGGCGGATTCTGAGGGTCATATCTGCAGTATATCCGCGTCGCGCATGGGTTGCGCATCTCAGGCCGGCGCGTGCACGTGCTCTGCTCCAGCCAGAGACATACGGACAAATGGCCAACGGTGGTCAGCCGCCCAAAAGGGCCTCCCAGCCGGGTCCCTTTGGCCTCTTTATATACGTTTAGAGGGGCCCTGTATACTTATGAATACTGCCGTTTTGTAGCCGCGGGTGGGCAATATATGCACGTTGTTTGAGTGTTTGCGTGTGTTCTTTGAGTGAGTGGTACAAGCACGTTTACACAGATACGTCCTTCGATCTGAAGAAAGCATACTCCTGAATTCTCGACGTGTATTTTTAACGTTTTTAGGGCAGTTGCTGGCTTCGGCTCCGTAAATTCTTATCGAGCGTCAGTTTTTAGCAAGTTAAGCACGTTGATGGTGTGCCTGTTTATCGCGCTTCATGTGTCCCCGATTCCCTCACAGTTCATGGCAGCGCCTGAACAATAGACAGGTTGTCGAGGAAGAACAAATTATTTGTGTTTACCTCTGCACGGTTGTAAGCTAATAGTAGGCGTGAGATGATTTGTACTATGTATTTTTGCACTTTGGGGCTGCTCCAAAACAGGCAGTCTTCACAAAGCTCTTGGATAAAGAGCCCTGATTTAAGTGCGCAGTTTGTGCTACATGTGAAAACTTGCGTGCTGCGTGCATTTCTCAATATGCACGCTAGCAATGATGTGGATAACGTGTCCCGCATCAGGGCGGGGGTGCGGTGGGGATGTGATGATTAGTGCACTCGACTCTGAGCCTGGGGCCGGGCCCCAGCCGCGCCGCCACCGCATCCCACATGATAACCTAATAAAGGCATCCGTCTCGATATGGCCATGGCGGTCGGCGAGACGTAAAGCCGCAATCATTGTTATTCTGGCTGGCTTCGTTTCCCGTCAGACTGTGTACGGTGTGGATTTTCTCAAATGTCGTGCGTTTCCGAGTCCCGTGTGACTGGCTGCTGTCCCAGCGGCGCCGCATTATCCTGCTGGACAGCACGGACATTGCATTGTTCTCCCGCCCTTAGCCCACTGACGTGACCTGGTACCGTTACCCCTCAGATTTGCATGCCTGTACACGCCACGTGGCCGCTCTCCATTGCAAATGGATCGCCGGCTGGAGCCGAACCTTTCAAAGGAAGTTCTGGCCATTCCAATGGCGGGATGTGTTACCGGAACAGGCAACAGACGAACGGTTGGCGCAGTAAGCCACCCACATTGACATTTCTGACAAGTTGTGGCCATTCCAATGGCGGGGTCTGTTTGCGGGAACAGGCAACAGACGAACGGTTGGCGCAGTAAGCCACGCACATTGATGTTTCGGACAAGTTCTGGCCATTCCAATGGCGGGATCTGTTACAGAAATCGGTTACGGACGAACGGTTGGCGCAGTAAGCCACACACATGGGCATTTCTGACAAGTTCTGGCCATTCCAATAGCAGGATCTATTAAAGAAACAGACAACAGACGAACGGCTGTCGCAGTAAGCCACACACATTGACAGGCGTGTCTAGCACGTTAGTTTGTGTTTGACCTCGGAGTTCCCGAGCAGTGACCTGCGTGCGGTCGCTTCGTCGAGCTTGCGGCTCACGCGAGTGTGCCGGTGACGGGCGGCTTCAGTGGGGAGGCGACTAACGCTGGCTGCGTCTCCTCTCGGACAGGTGCGGCGGCCTCCGTGGCGTACGACGAGCGGCCGTCGCAGCTCGTGCAGGTTGTGCCGCTGGTGCGGCTGGCCCGCCAGGCGCCTGAAACGAACGGCATCGGCGCCGACAGCCAGACCAACGTGGCCGCCCACCCGGCCGCCCCTAAGTGAGTGTCTCGGGCAGGGACCGCGGCGCGGTGTCGGTCGTCGACGCTGGTGTGGAGTGTGCCAGACTCGGTCCCCAACCCCAGTGACGGCGGGCTGGTTGCGATTTTCAGTGTGCCAGACTTGGTCCCTCACCCCAGTGACGGCAGGCTGGTTGCGATTTTCAGTGTGCCAGACTCGGTCCCTGACCCCAGTGACGGCGGGCTGGTTACGATGTTCAGTGTGCCAGACTCGGTCCCTAACCCCAGTGACGGTGGGCTGGTTTTGTTGTCTCCAGTGTGTCAGGCCCGGTCCGTAACCCCAGTGACGGCGGGCTGGTTGCGATCTCCAGTGTGCCAGACCCGGTCCCTAACCCCAGTGACGGCGAGTTGCTTGTGTTGTCTCCAGTGTGTCAAACCCGGTCCCTAACCCCAGTGACGGCGGGTTGGTTTTGTTGTCTCCAGTGTGCCAGACTGCACGGTCCCTAACCCCAGTGACGGCGGGCTGGTTACGATGTTCAGTGCGCCAGACCCGGTCCCTAACCCCAGTGACGGCGGGCTGGTTACGATGTTCACTGTGCCAGACCCGGACCCTTGCCCCAGTGACGGCGGGCTGGTTACGATGTTCACTGTGCCAGACCCGGTCCCTAATCCCAGTGACGGCGGGCTGGTTACGATGTTCAGTGTGCCAGACCCGGTCCCTAACCCCAGTGAGGGCGGGCTGGTGCGCTGCAGCTTTGTTTACACTGGCCTGAAGTATGGCTCATGCTAGCTGACGCTTCTTTGGTGCTAGTGGCGGCTAAAAAGCAACAGATGCAAGAGAAGGTCGATGGTTTATTGACCTTCCACCGTCGAGGCACCCGCGCGCGCACAAGCATGACGCATGTCGATGCTTTACAGCAAGCATAACGAGGTGCATGGCAAAGTTGTATGAAGTGCGCTATCCTTTTTCATGTAGTGAATTCCCGATGGGTCTGAAGAGTGCCTGCTCAAGGTTGTCAGGCGTTCAGGCGTCAGGCGACCACGGTACAGACCGAAGGTCGAAGCCGCTGCGTAGTGCAGTGGCACGCCCCGCCGTCTGGTTCATGGGAGTTTGGCGCGGGGGGAAGGGTCCTTGCGGTGCGTGCGGATGGTGTTTAAGCGGCACGTATATTCCAACTGCTGTGAGTCATGGCAGAGCCAGACAGCGTAAGAACAATGTTGAAATGGAATGTCTACTGTGCGTGCATCGTCACAACGCTGGGCAATGTAAATACGACAAATTTGGTAGCGGGCTTACCGTGAAGTTTGTTTTGTGAAAACAGTGCCAGGTGGGCAGGTTGGGGCACGGGACATAGATTTAGTCGAGTAGGCTAGAGTGGAGTGAATTGAAGTCGAGTGGATACAGTGGAGTGAATTGAAGTCGAGTGGATGCAGTGGAGTCAAAATGTTGAACGAGTGGGCTCGAAATGCGCTTAGACTGAATTACTCAGCACTTTTGCACATCATATTTGCAATGTTTCTGATTGTGTTGCATTTCAGTCGCATTTCCAAAAGATACGGTGGGATGCATAATGTGTGGTGGCCCTGAACCATGGATGAGGCGGGAACACACGCCGCCTGTACATTCACGTGGAGATGACCATCATAAATGGGTGATGTGGCCACAGAAGAACGGTACAAAACTACAACAGTCACGGATGGATTGATTCTTCGAGCTATCCGCGTCGTCTGGCGTGATGTACATGCTACCTTTTTTGACAGTTGATTACCTGATTCTACGAGATGGGACTTAGCCAGTTAATGTTTTATAGAGGAAGCCAATTAAATGTTTGGCCATTTTTGGGTGTTACGAAGTCAGAAGAACCGAACGATGTTTGGCTTTCAGCCATGTACGCGTCGCAACCTGACTTATGTTCTTGGAATTGAGTGAATAGAACCAGGGCCTTCTGATCGCGAAGGCAGGCCTCTACCAACCGAGCTAACCGGAAGGAAGTTCCGCTGCCCTACCGAGTCAGGTCATTGGTGGAGCACTGGCCTCGCAATCAGAGGACCGTGGCTCGAATCCCATCAATTCCAAGGGGAGAATTCGGGTTGTGATGCATGCTTGGCTGAAAACTGAACATCATCCAGTCCTTTTTGGGACTCAAGACACCTGATGACGGCCGGAGAGTTGACTGGCCAAAACGTTATATGTATTCTAGCACACCGGACGAGGACGATAGTCTGAGCAATCATTCCATCCATGACACTAATACCCAGTCTCAGTCGTTCTCTAAAGCCGTGTAGCAGTCGACTGCAAGTATAACAGTCGTCTCAAGCGTCACCATTGGCAGACAACACCCACACCTCGGGACAGAGTTCCCCAACGGGTGGTGTGTAGCACGGCCGTTATGGTAGTCATTAAGAGCGTTTCGCAACAAGAGAGCAGCAAAAGTCGCCCTTGCGTGGTTGGCTTGGCGTCGCCCTTCGACGGCGTCGCCACGCAAGCAGTGCTGTGTCGGCTGGTCGCGCCTGTTCACTGGACAATCCGGAGCTCACTGCCTGACGGACAGCCTCGAGCTCCGCGTGCCCTTACGTGTGTAAGCCATAATCGGCACACAGAGCTCCATTATGGCGTATTGACTCATGCAGCCAGCGCCTCATCTCTGTATCGACTGGTAACGCTTTGTCACGCTGCGCTGTTGCGACAGACTTCCCGCTTCTTTGTGGTGCGCCGCCGCCAGGTGGGTGACGTCACCCCACTGCCCCACTCCCAGGCGGCTGACGTCACCACACCGTTCCAATCCCATCTGGGTGACGTCACACCGGAGCTGACTGCACGTTCGCTCGGTTTCAGCGCGACTGCCTCGACGACAACCACAACCACAACAACCACAACCACAACGACAGTCGCAACCACCGCGACACCTGGCGCGGCGAGCAGCGCGGCGCCGAGCGGCGGCGCGGCGGCGAGCGGCGGCGCGGCGGCGACCCCGACGACGACGACGGCGCCGGTGACGGCTCGCCCCACGACGGTCAACTACACCACGTCGCCGACGCCTGCCGTGCCGCTGGCCAGCACGGAAACCAGCTACGAGGACTTGGACGCGTTCGTCAGCGGCGACCACCCGTACCACATCAACGGCACCGACATCGAGCGCATCAAAATCGTGAGTGTCGGGTCATCGCCCCCGGCCGGTTGGCGGACCGGCGCCGCCGCCCGGCCGGTCGGGTCGGCCCTGCGCCCCTGCCAAGGTCGGCCGACGTGTGGTCACGGGCGCCTTTGTCCGCAGCGGCGGGCCTGTCGAGCCGGCCCGGCTCTCGACCCAGCCAGACTCCCCACTGTCGAGCCGACCCGGCCCCCGACCCAGCCAGACTCCCCGATGTTGAGCCGGCCTGGCTCCCCCCCCCCAAACTCCCGCTGTCGGGCCGGCCCGGCCCCTATCCCCCCTCCCCAGACTTCCCGCTATCGAGCCGGCCCAGCTCTCGGCCCCGTCATGTTCCCCGCAGTCGAGCCGGCCCAGCTCTCGCCCCCCCCCCCCCCCGCGACTCCCCGCTGCCGCGCCTGCCCGGCTCTCAGCCCCGTCATATTCCCCGCAGTCGGCCGGCGGATGGTCGGTTCCGGGCTGCTGGGTATCTGGCCGCCTGCGTCATGACTTGTGAAGAAATCGGCGCTGCCGTCCATATGGATGACGCATAATCAGCGTTCAGCCCTCGTGGGCGTTTCGTTCGGGTTCGGTTGGGTGGTTATGCGTTTTTTTTTGCGCCAGGCCCTGGTGCATTACGCAAGAGCTTCTGACGCTGATGGCGGACTGAGTTTCAGCCTGCAGGTGACAAGCCTCTGAGCAACAAATGAGATCGTATCGCGGGTGCTACCTGGTCATGATTCGGAGCTTAATATCGCTGGCCTTCCCATAGCATGCTATGACACATAGGTGCTGTGCGCGTTCTCAAGATCTGCTCACGTGTTGTGTAAGAACGCTATTGTTGTTCTTGGTTTACCAGATCTACCTTGATTTTCGCACCTTATTATGCTACTGTTCTACTGTGGTATGGAGCTCACGGCATGACCCAACACTCCCGGAGAGTCATGATGCATCGCAGTTGCATCCCCCAGCTCCGCGCCGGATTGTTCCGTCCCCAGGACGGGTTTCCCCGCTGACACTGGCTAGCACTCGTCCCAATCCGCCCGTTGGCGGCCTCCGGCCGGTCGGCTAGTCCGATGCCGCGGTGGGGTGGGAGCGACAGGAGACAGACGATGCCGTGGTGGGGTGGGACTGGTGGGAGAGACAGACTGTGCGGCGGCGGGGTGGGGGCGGGGGAGAGACAGACGGTGCCGTGCTGAGGTGGGAGCGGTGAAAGACAGACGGTGCCATGCTGAGGTGGGAGCGGTGAAAGACAGACGGTGCCGTGGTGGGGTGATAGGGTGGGAGAGACAGACGATGCAGATGTCTGGTAGGAGCGATGGGAGAGACGGACGGTGCAGAGGTCTGGTGCCGCCGTACCATCCGGTGGCTTCTTGACGCTTATGGTCATGCTCTGGCAGTCGTACTTGTCTTTGAGGTCGCTTGTGTGAAATCGGTTCAGACCGACTCACAGCTCATAGAGCTTATTCTGGCTCTGACTCCAGAGGCAGCTTGGCTCAATCTTAAGTCAGCTTTCATTCTGGCCTAAACAAATGTGACTAAGCCCGGGAACTGTTTCGATGGAGCCGATTACGTTGAGTATTGTCCTATCTTTTGCTCACAGTCTGTCAAAATAGAAAGGTCAGATGTTGGTAACATTTAGCGTTGAATCGGCTAATGGTACCAGCTTGCACAATGGACTCAGCTGTGACGCTAACCCATCCATAGTTTGCTGTGGAATTGATTTCACTCCAGCTCAATGGACATTTGTTCTTTTTTTTAGCTGATTCCGATTGCACTTGGAGAGAAGCACAAGCTGCCGCAGACAGAGGCGTCGCCGCCGGAGGCGGGGCGGGGGGTGGGGGGGGGGGGGGGGACGAGGAGCGGCGGGCACCAGCTGCTGGTTACGAGCGGGCCGCTGAAACAGCTGTTACAAATGTCAGCTGCTGCGCTTGCATTATTGTACCGCCTTACGTTCCGTGTTTTGGCGGTCGACATGGCGCGTCATGGGCGGGCAGCCGCCACGTCGCGCTGGGACGGGGATCAGCTCGCGTTCCGCCGAGGCCTTCCGCCGAGGCCTTCCGCCGCATGGCTCGGCCGCCCCCACGGCTGTGGCCGGCTGCACCAGCGCTCGTCGGCCGGCGTGGCTGCATTAATCCGCTTCATGGTACAGGGTCTCGGGCCGCATCGTTTGCTGGCGTGTTCAAAACTGGATCGGCAGGGCTTAGTGTGCGCGCTGTGCACTCTTATCACGTGTGTGATGACCCGTTTGTTTGACGCGAGCTGCGGAGCGGACGGCATCTGAGCGTGCAGCGGCGATGGGCGGCCGCCACCCTGGATCGTGTCGTTTGGGGCGTTTTCTGGCATTGTTTACATTAGTTCGAGCGTGGTGTTTACGCGAGCATGGCCCAGCGGCGGCTCATGGTGAGGGCTACCAGTTTCGTTGTGAAAGTATCTTCTGGATGAACTGGGTACCTGTCCCTGTCGGAGGCCTGTATTTCTTTCTCCCGTGCATTTCGTCTTCAGATTGCGACGATGGCTTTGGGCTGAGATCGTGCGCGATGGGCATACATCATGCTGGCCATGATAGCCCCCACCCCCCAACATATGATGTGGCCGTTCGGTGAACAATGCCGCCTATGGTTTATCAGCAGCTTCCTGCAGCGCGCGGTGTTGTGCTGGGGCCATTCCTCCGTGGTCTAAGCCCTCGTCGATTGCCCACTACTCGCAGAAGGAGTGTGTAAGGAGTTTGGCGGCGCAGCTTTCGGCGTGTCTAGACAACGCGCCAGCCGCGCAGGCCGTGTCCCGTGCCCCGGAGCCGTGTGTGGCCGGCGCTCCAGGCACTGTCCCGGGCTGCGTGTCCGAGCAGCAGCGGCCGCCGCGGGCCGGATGACCGGCACCGGGTGATGGTGTGGGTGATGGTGTGGGGTTTAGGGCGCTCGGCGGGGCCTGGCGGCCCGTCGAGTGAGTGTCTTCGTCTGCCCGCTGAGTGTGTATCTTCTGCTGCCCACTGAATGTGTGTCGTCGGCCGCTCACTGAGTGTGTCTCGGCTGCCCATGGAGTGTACGTCTTCGGCTGCCCGATGAGCGTATGTCTTTGTGTGTCCGCTGAGTGTGTATCTTCTGCTGCCCACTGAGTGTGTCTTCGGCTGCCCACTGAGAGTGTGTCTTCGGCTGCCCGCAGGATGACCACAAATACTACATATCTCACTTCATGCCGAACGGCCAGGACTTCTGGGTGAATCTAGACAAGCGACCGGCGAGCAGCGTCATCCAGCACGACATGCTGTCCAAGGCGCACCGGCGCGCCGCTGTGAGTACCCGACGCGGCCGGCCTGCGGTCACGGCCGGCGTGACGCCGTCCACAGCGCGCCGGCTGTGGGCTCTCCCCGTGTCATTTGGTCACCGGTCCAGCCATCTGCGGTCCGGGTGATCTGCACCGTCAGAGGCTGTCTCCTCGCATCACTGGCTGGCGTGCAGCCGCTGTTAGTGCCGGACGTCTGGCGCCAGTATCCTGACTGTGATTGTCTCCTCGCATCACTGGCTGGTGTGCAGCCGCTGTCAGTCCGGGACGTCTGGCGCCAGTATCCTGACTGTGATTGTCTCCTCACATCACTGGCTGGTGTGCAGCCGCCGTCAGTCCCTGACGCCTGGCACCAGTATCCTGGCTGTGATTGTCTCCTCGCATCACTGGCTGGTGTGCAGCCGCTGTTAGTCCCGGACGCCTGGCGCCAGTGTCCTGGCTGTGATTGTCTCCTCACATCACTGGCTGGTGTGCAGCCGCCGTCAGTCCCTGACGCCTGGCGTCAGTATCCTGGCTGTGATTGTCTCCTCGCATCACTGGTTGGTGTGCAGCTGCCGTCAGTCCCTAACGCCTGGCGTCAGTATCCTGGCTGTGATTGTCTCCTCACATCACTGGCTGGTGTGCAGCCGCCGTCAGTCCCAGACGCCGGGCGTCACTACCCTGACCGTCAGCCATTACGAGTTGCATGGTTCCTCGCACCACTGCCCAGCCATCCTCAGCCTCTGAAGCCATCAAATCGCCACGTCCCGTCCGTCGTAAGTCCCTGGACCCGGCAGCCGGGCCGACGACTCTGGCGTGGTCAGTAGTGACCACGGACCGTATTTAACGCGCCCGACCTGGATTGAGTCTGTCCGACGCCTGGAATTGCGTTGCTGTGGCAGCCAGCGTCCAATTCATGGTGTTTTGCTTCGCATGCCTCTTTTCAACAGTTGAAGACATCATGTCAAAATGCCGTCGTTATCGTTAAGCACGTCTGCTTTCCAATATTGGCAAACGACCGCCACAATGTGCGTGGTGTTGAGGTTTCGCCCGTCTTCCCAACCTAAGAAAATATTTGAAGACAGCGGGGCGGTACAGACTTCCTGTTGCTGCACGTTTTGCCACCTACATAGTGGCTTGTCCATGGCACATTGGCTTATAACAGATGGTATCGAAGTGAACGCTCCAATGGCGTGCCGGGCAAAAGCGTGCACTCGATAGGCAATCACGTGAACAAATTCCAAAATTCAGTATCAGTGCTCAGGGAGGCGTTTCAAAGCCGCATTTCGTGTCTTTTCCATCGTCGTTTGGCCGGCTTTGGCGTCAGAGCTATGTACAGCAACGAAGCGGCTCGGCGCTGGTGGCGGCCACCGGGGCCGTCTGTTCTCAGCTGGATGAGTTTCCAGCGTTCCGGTACAGGGTTTTCAACAGCTCTCCGATTTGCGAAGCCACGGTTTTCCTCGCTTCAAAGGAAGTGGCATTCAGTCCCCGCCTGATTTGTCGGAAATCGGGGCACCGGGACGGGTGTAAAGTGACGTAATAACAGCCGACTGCAGAACAGTATTGCAGCGTCGCGTGTGCCGCCAGCACACGTCGCCCTTTTGTTCTGCCGGAGACCTCCCCTTTTGAGGCATCTGGTCTCCCTGCCGTCGCAATGGCTGTCACGAACGGCCCGGGGTGGCAGGGCCATCGCCCTGTCCTCATGGCTGCTCAGACCGCCCGGTGCTTATGACTCGTGTTCTGTTGTGTGGTCATCGCCCTCTGTTATCTGTTGCGTGCTCATGGTCTGTTGCGTCCTCATGGCCCGCTGTGTCTTCGTAGTCTGATGTGTCCTCACGGCCTGCTGTGTCGTCATAGTCTGATGTATATTGGTGATCCGCTGTGTCCTCATGACCCGCTGTGTCCATGTGGCCCGCTGTGTCCTCATAGTCTGATGTGTATTTATGATCCGCTGGGTCCTCATGGCCCCGCTGTGTCCACATTGTCTGATGTGTCCACGTGGCCTGTTGTGTTCTCATAGTCTGATGTGTATTTATGATCCGGTGGGTCCTCATGACCCGCGGTGTCATAGTCTGATCTGTTTGCGTGGCCCACTTTGTCCTCATAGTGTGATATGTATGTATGATCCCGTGGGTCCTCATAGCCCGCGGCGTCCTCATAGTCTGATGTTTATTTATAATCCGCTGGGTCCTCATGGCCCATGGTGTCCTCATAGTCTGATGTGTCCACGTGGCCCGCTGGGTCCTCGTAGTCTGATGTGCATTTATGATCCCGTGGGTCCCCATGGCCCGCGGTGTCCTCACAGTCTGATGTGTATTTATGATCCGCTGGGTCCTCATGGCCCGCGGTGTCCTCATAGCCTGATGTGTCCACGTGGCACGCTGTGTCCTCGTAGCCTGATGTGGATTTATGATCCACTGGGTCCTCATGGCCCGCGGTGTCCTTATAATCTGATGCGTCCACGTGGCTCGCCGTGTCCTCATTGCCGGCCGTGCTACGAGCCGCGCCGACTGAGGGCTGACCTTTCCCGCCATTTTCCATCGGCAGCGCGTGCCGCTCAAGTTCGAGTTTCCGTTCTACGGCCACATGATCCCCAACATCACCATCGCCACCGGCGGCTTCCTCTACACGGGCGACTACCTGCACTCGTGGCTGGCGGCCACGCAGTACATCGCGCCCCTCATGGCCAACTTCGACACCACCATCAGCCCCGACTCGGTCATCAAGTACTCGGACAACGGTGCGTGCCCGACCCGGCCACCGAGTAACTGGGGGTGTGGGGGGGGGGGGGAGGGGAGGGGCTCAGAGTATCGGCAGCCCGAGTGTGCTTTGTTTCCTGCGGCAGACTGGGCAGATCAGGGCAGGGTCAGGTCCTGTCTCGGCCGGGGTGGGCTTCTTGGAGGTTTGCCGATTGCGAAGGTGCAGGAGTCCCAGCGCGCACCCAGCCGTGCTCTGGGATGTATCAACTGTCGCCATATATTTGCTGTCACTGACGGTCGAGCGTCATCTTGTGATATATTGACCTATCAAGTGTCAAGTATAGTATATGTCCGGTATATGAGTACCTGTCAAAGCTGCGTGAAGCTTTTGGTGTGGCGCATTTTCGGCGGCTCCCAGTGCTCTGTGCTGCGTGCTTTTGATGCGCGCTCGTGCTGCCGGCGGTGTAGGTGTGCGGCGGGTGGGCCGTCTCGTCTCGCGTGACGGCCACGGTCGTCTGTTGCAGGCACGTCCCTGACGGTGCAGTGGGAGAAGGTGCTGCTGCAGGAGGCCAACAACACCGCCTTCAGCTTCCAGGTGCGCATCGTCGCCGGTTTCGCCGACCCGGCGCAAGCCGTGCTGGTTTGGGCGTGGGTCCCATGTCGGTGTGGTCGCCACCTTCGCTGGTCCGTTGCCACTGATATGGTGACGCGTTGGAAGTGTTGCAAGCAATGTCTTGTGATGGTGTGTTGGATCCAGGTACCCGCTCATAAGGCACTCTGGCGTTTCAATCGGCCCCGCGCTTCGTGGTTGGAATGCCACGCCTGAAGTGTTTCGCGATGTTGGCGGCGTCGGTCGAGGTTCGTGCGGCCGCGCCTGCTCCCGTTCACTGCCTTCCGCCCGCTCCCGTTCACCGCCGTCCGCCCGCTTGCGTTCACCGCCGTCCGTCCGCTCTCGCTCGTCGCCGTCCGCCCGCTCCCGTTTACCGCCTTCCGCCCGCTCCCGTTCACCGCCGTCCGCCCGCTCCCGTGCACTGTCGTCCGTCCGCTCCCGCTCGCAGCCGTCCGCCCGCTCCCGCTCGGTGCCGTCCTTTCGCCCCCGCTCGCCGCCGTCCGCCCGCTCCCGTTTACCGCTCCCGTCCTCCCGGCAGACCACCATCCACAAGTCCGGCGACGTGGTGTTCGCCTACCGGGATGTGCCGGTCGACATCACCGGCATCAACACGTCGGCCCACCCCGTCAAGGTCGGCATGTCGGACGCCTACATCATCGACCGCAGCATCATACGGCGTGAGTGCGCCCGAGCCGGCGGCCGACTGGCACGCCCGAACCGGCCAGGAGGCACGGGCCGACCACGCCTGCCGGTCCGCACACCACTGCGAGGGGCCATGTGGGTGCTGTTGGGATCGCACGCCACTGCGAGGGGCCATGTTCGTGCTGCGTACGAAAATGGGTTGCGGGTCGTGGCCGCATCTAGCGCATGTGGCTGTCGGGTTTTGCTTGTATCGTCATGTTGGTACGTATTAGCGAGCTCTTCGCGGGCTGCTGACTGCTGTAAAGGAGGAGGCGCCGTCGTCCAGGGGCGCGCTTGCGTGGGCCGGTGCTGTGCTGTTTCGCGATGGGGCCCTCGACGCCGCTTGTGGGCGCGCGACTGGCGCTGTGGTGAGCGTCGCCCCCGTCTGGGTCGTAGGGAACGGGACGGGGCGGATGCGGCCGGCCGCACGCCGCTCTGGCAACGGGGCCGGGCTGACCCGAACACAAGCTGACACCGGGCGACGGCCGCGGCCGACCTCCACGACTCCCGGGGCGGCGAGGGGCCGCGCCACCTCGAAGCGCGGCGCGTCACCGGGCGGCCGCGTGTCTGGCGCGCGACCGCCGGCTCGGCCAGTGTTTATTTCGGCGCGCCACGCAGCCGACGGCGCTGCCAAGTGACGCGCTCGATACCGCCGCGCCATCCGTCATTGAGGTCGGCGCTGATGGCCGGAGTCGAGCCGGGCCCGCCGCCGGCCTGCTGCACCGAGGCGCGGGCCGTCGGCCGTGACGTAGTTCGGCCGTCCGGAGACCGAGAGGCCCGGCAGCGAGTGGCGCGGAGAGCCGCTGCAGCCGGAGCCTCCGAGGCCCGGCCGTCCGGAGACCGAGAGGCCCGGCAGCGAGTGGCGCGGGGAGCCGCTGCTGCCGGAGCCTCGGACCCGGCCGGGCTCCGAGCGTTGTAGTCGTGGCCTGCGCCCGATGGGTATGCTGCCGCGGACCTTCACGTTTGTGCTGGACCGCCTGCCCGGTCGCCGTCCTCGTTTGAGTGGCGGTCGCAACTCGGCGCCAGTTCCACCGACGGCCGCCTCGCGCGGCGTGACTGCGTCCGGGCCGGCTCTGTGGCGAGCCGGGTTTCCAGAGGCCGCGGTGCCCTCTTCGGCGAGGATTACCGATGGAGTGGGCTGAGTTGTCAGCGCTGGCGCCGCAACGTCTCTTCCTGCGGCGGGCTTGTCCTTACGTGGCATCTTTCACCGCTTGCTGTTCGCATCAGTTTCAACGGCCGCAATGTGCTGTTCGTTGTTGTTCCGGTTAGGCACAGTAGCGTGATGAAGAACGCATGGCGCTGGTCGTCCGCCACATCCGGCGTGTCGATAGACAGTCTGACCCGTCTGAAGATGGCGGGTGTGTTTGTGGTGCCAAACTGCTGCCGACCACGCGTCTGGCCAACAGATCGGTCAGGTCTGTCATCTGCTCAGCAAACCGCCAAATGAAATACGTGCAGCAGTATGCTTAAATTAATAGCGATGACTGTAATCCGACTTGTCTAGTTTTGTTTTGTTTCCCGTCGTTTGATCAAAGGATGGTTCTGGTTGCAACATCCTTGCCTCGCAATTACAACATCCGGAATGTCATCAATACCATGCATTTTGCATGATTTTGTGACCTGCAATCACGTAGGGGCGTTCACTAAAAAGCGGGGCGTGACCACTTTAAAAACAGCATGGGCTTCACTTTGTTATTTCAGAGAAACTCGTGTTGCACGTGCGTGGCGATATCGTATTATAGGTCTTTGAACCCCCATCCCCCACATACACAGACACTCTAAACAGGATTAGTGGAAGTGCTGAATACCCGAGCGGGTATTTAGCAATGGAAAGGATGACGTGGGTCGTTGTGAATAGAGCCAAGCTCAGTGCTTTATGTACTGCTTGCTCATTTCCTGGTTTCAGGACGATAAACCTTGTGTGACTTCTTGCGTCTTGTCATCGCTGACGAGGTTATTCGTGACATGAAGCCCAGCCCTGTTATCTCAAAGGTCATGAAGTGGAGCGTGTTTAGTTTCTTTCTTGTAACCGAAGCTCCTTTTCTGTAACTGGGGGAGCTTAGATACAAGTATGATTGTTCAATTTGGAGCGGCGTACCAACGGCATGCTTATGTGGTAGCCATAATGGTTTTTCTGCATGACAAAGTAAAAAAAAAATGAGTAAGCAGTTATTAATCATTCTGTTTTCATTCTTGGAGGAATATTTTGCCAGTAAAAGACTAAACACAGCGATCAGAAGTGGGCCGTGCGCGTGCACAGTACAGGGCATCGCCTACTGGAAACGCAACGCTGTGGCTGACGTACGGCGAATTCTGCCTACACCCATCACGCTGAGCAACGCGGAGAAACGGGTTCGATGCCACCGGTGGTTTCAAGGGCGCGGTCCTGGCGTACAATGAGTGCATGCCGTATGGCGAGGGGCTTCCGCCGGCGCGGGTGGACCGTCCGTTCGGGCTCCACGCCGCAGGCGGCGGCAGGTGACGCCATCACGGCCGATGCGGAGACGGTACGGCCCCACCATGACCCCGCCGTGACCCTGCCATGACCCCGCCTCGCCACGCCTTGCGCGCACAGGACTTCTGTGGTTCCGGACGGGGCGCCACGGCCAAACCCTGGAAACTGATAATTATGTCCCAATTGTGTTGCCATTGACGTTGCAAATATTCTGCAATATCGGGGTATGGGTACTTGGCCGGAAAGGGAGACGAACATCCACGCTCTGCGCCTTCTGCACGCCTCGCTGCGGCGTCTGCATACGTATTGCCCTGGATGTCAGCATAGGTCGGAATTCAACATGGTGAACTTAATTTAGGAAGACTGCTGACGCTTGACAAGTTCATTTATGGAGCGTTGGATGACTGCCATGAGGAAAATGAGACACAGCTGTGGAAAATTGCCTCGCCTCGGAAGCCACGAAGATGTTCATCAAAATGTCCGGCCGCAGGATGTGCATGGCGTAGAAAATCGGCGACTCACAGCTTGGTGCTGCACAGCACCATGGCAGTAGTCGCGCCTGTGCATAGTCACTCACATCAAACGAAGGCACGTGCAGAGAACCGTGGCGTATTTCACTGAGTCAGCAAACCGCCGAAAATACCTAAATGAGATGAGCACAGGCGGGGCGTCCTTTGACCATCGCCTTGAGTGCGCCGGCGGTCGCGTGCGTTCTTGCGGGCGTATTAGCACACCAGTGAACCATGAAACGTCAAGCCGTGACCTGGTAATCATCGGGGGCGGGTTTGGCCGAGTCACCCGGCTATCGCTGGCGGCCGCCGATCGGGCTATGCGCACGGGTGACCCGAACAGTCTTGACCTGGCCTGAGCCGCGGGGATGACTCGAACAGACGTGACGTGGCCTGAGCCGCGGGGATGACTCGAACAGATGTGACGTGGCCTGAGCCGCAGGGATGGCCCGAACAGACGTGACCTGGCCTGAGCTGCGGGGATGACCCGAACAGACGTGACCTGGCCTGAGCCGCGGTGATGACCCGAACAGACGTGACCTGGCCTGAGCCGCGGGGGTGACCCGAACAGACGTGACCTGGCCTGAGCCGCGGGGATGACCCGAACAGACGTGACCTGGCCTGAGCCGCGGGGATGACCCGAACAGACGTGACCTGGCCTGAGCCGCGGGGATGACCCGAACAGACGTGACCTGGCCTGAGCTGCGGTGATGACCCGAACAGACGCGACCTGGCCTGAGCTGCGGGAATGACCCGAATGGACGTGAACTGGCCTGAGCCGCGGGGATGACCCGAACAGACGTGACCTGGCCTGAGCTGCGGGGATGACCCGAACAGACGTGACCTGGCCTGAGCCGCAGGGATGACCCGAACAGACGTGACGTAGCCTGAGCCGTGGGGATGACCCGAACAGGCGTGACCTGGCCTGAGCTGCGGGAATGACCCGCACAGGTGTGGCCTGGCTTGAGCTGCGAGATGACCCGAACAGACGTGACCTGGCCTGAGCTGCGGGAATGACCCGAACAGACGTGACCTGGCCTGAGCTGTGGGAATGACCCGAACAAACGTGACCTGCCTGAGCTGCGGGGATGATCCGAACACGTGTGACCTGGCTTGAGCTGCGGGATGACCCGAACAGGCGTGACCTGGCCTGAGCTGCGGGGATGACCCGAGCGGGTGTGACCTGGCCTGAGCCGCGGGGATGACCCGAACAGGTGTGACCTGGCCTGAGCTGCGGGGATGACCCGAACAGGTGTGGCCTGGCCTGAGCCGCGGGGATGACCCGAACAGGTGTGGCCTGGCCTGAGCTGCGGGGATGACCCGAGCAGGTGTGGCCTGGCCTGAGCTGCGGGAATGACCCGAGCACGGGGCGTGCGGTTCGGTCGGGGATGTGAGAGGATGAGCCGAAAGTGTGGCCACTTACGTGCGGGCGGTGGCGCACCTGTCAAGCCGAGGAAGCGCGACCAAGCCCTCGCCCCAACGCGATGAGAGATGCTCGATCCACAGAGTGCCGGACGGGTCGCTTTGTGCATGGCGTATTAGCTGATCTGCTGAGACATGAGATATCCATCCCGCTCCATTATCATACTTTAATGAACAGGCTTGCAGCCCGCGTCTCGGCCGACCACAGGGTGTTTGCTCACTAGGCTGCGGCGCTGGACATCGCGGCATCGAACGATAGCAAGCAGATAGCTGGGGTGACCTCCGTCGTGTCGCAAGTGTTGCATCAATGGTCCGTGTTAGCGTGTGCAAATGTTTTCCTTGAACACTTTTGTCGTACAATTCCACTTCCGCTTGTTCCACAGCCACCTGTACCGCTTCTGTGGTACCCTGCCGTGGCGTATGCACATCTGGCAGTGTCGCATAAAACTCACTGGGGACCCCTTGAGCACGTGGGGTCCCCTCCCCGCTAATGCAATACATCATGGGCGCACATGCATGGATGCACACCGGGAAATAACTCGCGCACACGAACGATCAACGGGTTATGCAGGAATAACAAACGCATCCCGCAGCATGCCATTATTTCACA